GTTTTCCAAAAACGTAATAAATTTAAAAACATCATGGCTCTTTTAAATCCCCCATGCAGTAATTTAAAATATTTGAAACATCCTTACATCTCGCCGAATGGTTTGAAATTTGGTAGAAAATGTGATTAAAATCTTATGATACATAAAATTGTAGAAAAACCAATACTTCATGGAGAAAAAAATATATATTTTAAAGGCCGTTTGGTCGGACAGGAAATAATGAAATGGTCAGTAAAAGAGCCTTAAAACAAAATTATCTTCTGCTTATATAATTTTCATTTAATGGTTAAGTCGTTCTTCGTCCTTGTTGGTCTTGACAGCCAGTAGCTGGTCTCGCCTCTCCTTATCCTCCTTCCACATGTTCCACAGTTTGCCAGTGATCTCGTGCATCACAACTGTGGTCGTGTTGGCGTTGATCAGTCGGAAGGTGAACACGCCGTCTGGCTTCAGGAACTTCTGCACAAACTCCCGCAATAGCGTCTTGTGGTCCTGAAAAAACAAAGAACCCGGGTTTTTGTGACTCGTCAACATCTTTGGGACTGCGAACTTTCGGACGCGCAATCCTCCTCGCACGAACGTATTTGCAAAAAAAACTTATCAGTGATTGTTGTTCTGAAAAAATGAAATAGAATCAGAGTACCTAGCTTTAATTAGTCTTGCAATATAGGTTCCTATAATGGCTCCAAAATGTAAAATATTCTCTTTAATCATTTAATTATCTAACCCAGATTTGGCCCGAGCTGACTGCACCTATTTTACATCGCATTGATGAGCATTGAAAAACAGCATCTGGATATAATAGAAAGCACTCAATTAATCTTTATTTCAGCATAATGATAGATACAGTTAGGGATTTGAAGGGACCGACTACCCATTCCCTCCCGCGAAGAGCTGGACACCTTCAACACTCAAAGGGGTCCCACCCTAGATACTTTTTGTTATCTTTTTTTTCTCGACTAATTCTAAAACTTTCATAGGTGTCTTGAAGGCCAACAGATACTTGTTTGAAGGAGAAAACAATTTTTAGATCAACAATTTTTAAAAAATGCCAAAAAGGACATTTTTGATATTTAATCAGTATAATTTTTTTGCCTAATTTTGGGTCTTTTTATTACTAAATCAACGGTGTACAATCATTTCTTCAAAAATCTGTCACCGTATCTTTCGAGAAAAACTTAGACTGATGATTATTTTTTTGAAATTTTGGAGACAAAGTTTTTGTTGGATTTTCTACGCACCTCGTTGTCGAAATCAATCTCAGCGCTTTTTGACAGTCGCAGGAGTGTCTTAATGTACACTTCCCTGTTGTTAGTCCTCAACACCTTCATGAACCAGAAGAAGGCGTTGATTATGGTCACTATGGCCACGTAGGCGAGGAAGAACCAGAAGAGCACGAAGATCTTCTCGTTAAACAGATTCATGGTCAGCAGACATTGGAACCTGAAGGTCTTGTCGTCTCCCAAATCACGTTTGTTCATCTCGCAGATTGAAATCAGAGGGAACGCGTGAGTCTAAAAAAATAGATAAAAAAATCATCCCCTGCAAAACTTGCCCCCTCGAAAAAAAATCAAAGTTTTCAAATCCCTTTCATTTTAGCATGCTTTATTTTACCATCCAGATATCAGCACTATGTTCAAAAAGTTAGTAATCCGTTTTTTGACTCTTTGTAGCCCGAACTTTCATAGAAGTATAATCACCCTTTATAAAAACTATTATATGGATAAATTAACCGATTGTATGAGCTTCAGAGTGTCATTTCAACTTTTAAACACATATTAAACTTTTAACTTGTTCATAAGTGAAAACTTGACTATTTTGAAACTATAACTCAGTGTGACAAAAACTGACGAATTTTTATGCCAGTTTAGTTTTCACAATGCAGAAAGGTAATAAAAAGGAAAATAACTGATCTTTCCGCAATTTAGTCAAACATTTAAAAAACGACGCCCTAGTCGAGATCCCGTTTAAAAACCCGCTAATGATTTGAGCGGTTTGAGCGGTTATTTCGACTGAGCTCAAACCGCTCAAAAACAGCTCGAACCCTAGCAAGAAACGCTCAAAGACCTAGCAAGAAACGCCCTTTATCCCCAGAAGGGCCATTAATGCAAGAAACACGCGACCAGCTCGATTAAAATCTGAACTTCATAACTACCACAATACCAAAATTGGTGTCAAAAAATGTTCTAAGGTCTAAAAAAAAATGTCAGGTTTAATTACATCTCTTGAGTGAATTAAAAATTGTTCAGAGATGTATGAAAATTGCTAAAAAACACCCAAGAGCGCTCATTCTAAAGCAAAATCTTGAATGTAATTATAGAAAGAACGGTTCAACAAACGGCTGAAATTTAGCATGAAATTAGGCTGAAAAGATCTTATATGACTTTTTATCCAGCTTACAAGCTTTGCTGAGTACGGGTAGACATTTCTATGCAATTCAGAAAGATCAGGCTTCTGTTCTGATACGAGATTTGTTTGACTTTTCCCACAAAACAAGCTGGAAATCAAAATTTTTTTGATGTTGTTACATTTTGCAAAATAATATAACACGAATATTAAGGATAGCCGTTTACTGTGCAAGTAGCGCATAATGTTAGCAAATTAAGAAAAAAAAACAAAAAATATCAATTCAGTGTCGTTTTTTTTTCTGCGTGGTGTGATGAAGAGAACACAGCAAAAAAATAGAACTTAGGCATATTAGATAGTCATAGTAAAAAAACCTGGCTAATGGGAAAAATTTTCGTAACAAAATTTTTTGTAAAAAATTGACCAGAAAATCAAACAAGACTGCTCGTATCAGGACGAAGCCCTGAATGTTCCGACTGCCTTTTAAGGTTTATGGAGCAGTAATAACATTAAAAAATTAAATGAAATAAAATAAAATGAAAATTGTTTTTAAATGTGAACTTTTTTATGAAAATCATCCCCCCACACGCCATTTAAAGTACAAAAGGATAGATTTCGTTCCTTGAAACTAACCAATTATGGCAAATAAGCTTCTTTCAACCAATTTGGAACGATTTCTAAGACGGATTAAATCTCCGCTTACGCGTTAATAGCTCGAATTATATCGCGCGTTAATTGTCCCAAATTGGTCAAAATGGCCAAAATGGCAACCTTTAAACCCTTATAACTTTACAAAAAATTATCACAGGTGAAATATCTTTTCAAATTTAAGCTCAGGACAACAATAGCTTTTGAATGATGTAAAAAAATTCCGTCAAAAATGGCTAGTTAAAAAGTCGAAATTTGTCTGAAGAAAAAAAAAACCCACCCGAGCAGAAATATTCCGTTACTTTCGTATCAATAGTCGGAACAAAAATTATTGTTAAAAAGTTTTAAAACAATTGAAACACGCTTTCAAACTTTTGGCAAAAAGATTTTGAATTTTTGAAGTTTTTGATTACCAAAATGGCTCTATGCAACTCCAAAATTTGTTTTCAATTATAAAATTTAAAAAAAAAAACAAGTTTTCACGGTTTAAATTAAGCATAAATAAGCTATTGCAAGACTGCAAGCTCACATCATAAGCTCAAAATCAAACCTAAAATCAAAAGTTTCAAGCCGGTTTTTTTTGACACCGAGCCTTTTTCATAATTTTTTTGTCATTCGAATCATGACTGAAAAGGCTATTATAATACATCACTCGCCTCATTCCGATGATATATTGTGGTGCCTGATTTTGCTTTAACAAAAGGAAAAATTAAAAGTAAAAAAAACTAGAACACAGCCTAATGCAAAGTTCTTCGGTATTTTTCAACTCTTCAGAACAATTATTTTTAACGAATTGTGATAAAAACTATAAATATTTATTTCTGATTACAGTTGATAAATATGATACCAAAAATATCATTCCACTGGGTTCCGAATTTTTCAAATAACTTACGTTTTTGCTTATAATGAATAATAACTTCGTAAAAATTATATTCAAAAAAATAGTTTCATCGATTTTTTTAAACAGACTCTGACTTTCTCAAAAAAAGTTTTATTTTAGCTAAATTCAAAAAAAATGGTCATTTATTTTTTCTAGATACATTTTTTGAGCTTTATTTTTTTGCGCAGACTTAGAACTTTCTGGCAGCAATTTATTTACTTCAGAGAAAAGATGCTCTTGAAAAATTGAAAATGACGGAAATAGGATAAACAGAAAAAGAACAGCAAAAAAATCACTTAAATATTGGAAAAAAGTAACTGAAATCTGACCTGGTTGTATGTGCCCTGGAAAGCAGACATCAAAACATTGATGCCATAAAAGTGGAATCCGTCCAGCCAGAGATTCATGATGAAGAGGACCCCGATGGAGACGGACACCTGGAGGAGTTTGAGGAGCAGGTACATCCTCCCAACATAGGAGGCGTCACTCCTCGAGAAGAAACACACTTTGCCAAGACACTTCTAGAACATTCTCAGAAGACTTAAATTATGAAATCTAGTTAAGTATGTCCCCGGCGGTACCTAGTATCAAATAATCACCACCTATGAAGAACTAATTCAATCGTTGAGTATATACGAAATTTTTTGTCTAGAAACAAATTCCACGCTTCACCCTTTTTGCATTAGGGAGGCGGTGACCAGAGATCTAAGTTGTATAATGAAACTAACAAAGTTTTACAAAATGAAACTATTTGAAAACACATGAAGCAAAGTAACATGATAAAATGATCGTTTTTTGACCAGGAAATTGTTTGACTAATAGCCTTATTCAGAGCTGTGGTTTTTCGACTCCTTTGCGACTCCTCAAAAAATTCCTTTGCTATTCATCCCAAAAACTTTCAGCTTTGTGTCATAGTTTTTAATGCACCGCTTTTTTTCGAGGAAATGACTCTTATGTCAATGTTTTGGAAATTTAAAGCTGCTTAGAGTGGTAGAAGACTGCTTTGTCATATTCGCCATTTTGTGAGTGACCAAAATTGCCCCTTTATAGACTCTCAGGCTAATTGAACTCCTCGGACATTTTTAAATGAGTTCTTACGAAGACAGAAGGTTATTTAAGTGATAACAACCTTCAATGCGCTGTTTCCAGTTGTCTTCTTCTTAGACTTGAAATGAGCCAGCATGTACTTAGCCAGAAAACTGATCTGCTTGTCTCGATTCTGAGAATTGAGAGCAGACTCGAATCCATTCACACTCCTGACCATCGCAGTTATGTTGATACCCTCCGATTCCAAGACTCCTTGCCACAAGAGTCGGGGGAGGTAGAAGATGATGGCGACCGAGATGAAGATCAAAGGAACCCATTGGTAGTATCTCAACCACACGACATCACCTGACTCGATTTCATTAATAGTCTCGTACGCGAAGACGTCTTTACTCGCAGGCAAAAACGTGTTCGAAACGTAACAATAATACGTTGCGTATTCGACCCAATTGTCATTCGTGAACTCGTAAGGAACCCAGCAAAGCATAGGTCGGATCTGCATGTACTTGATGAGGACAAGGAACCCGCTGAAGAACATGCAGACCATGGGAGTCCTGCCGAAATGAAGCCGGTCGATTCCGTCGCCCTCTTGTCCGAGGTCAATGCCCCGAACAAACCGGGCAAACTGTTCAGCCATCGTTCCCAAAAAGTTACCGAAAGGTCACACGAAGAATTAAAAAATAAGTTTGATCGATTCTATACGTATTGTAACCAATGCATCAGTTTCGCCTCGAATACAAAATTATAACAAGATATAAAGTCTCCTAGGTGTAATAAAATGATGTTTAATCAGTTTCAAGGTTTGCTAATCAGTGGTTAGTTTTAGTTTCAGTGTTCAGTGGAATTTTGATAAAATTTCAATTATTTGATTGATTTCATTTCTAACCTAGGATGTAGTTTTCTTATTAGCTTGGCGTGCGTGCGATTTTAAAGCCCCGAATTGAACAAGCTCTGATAATTTGTGATAAGATTCAATTGTGAATGTTGGTTAAGGTTTCAACGTGATGCTTGTCAGAATTCGACTTTGCATAAGAGCTTTGAGTTTCGTCAGCTCATAGGAAACCGAAAGCTAACTATATGAAAGAGCAAACTTCATTGGCAAGAGTATCAAGATCTTACCATCGAAAAGTTACCATGAAGTTACCAAGAGCTTAGTGTCGCTTGAGTAATACGCCTTAGTTAATTCGCATATTTCAAATGCTAAACACTCTGTGGGTTAAGATTTGGATCCATTTTGAACCCATTATGCATGTTTGCTCTATAGTCTCTCAGCTCGCAACGAGTTGATTGTTGAATTTATTGATCGATTAAACAGTTTGACCAAACAACAGCTGATTGAATTTCTAAAACGAATTCAGATTTTGTCGCAGTAGTCTGAAAAAAAGTACAATCTGGGCCCGTGTTTTTTAAAGAAACATCGGATAATCAACCCGTATTTACCAAAAGTACTTGTGAAGCATATACAGAAAAGGGAATTATATGATATCCGTGATTTTTAATGAATGTGAAAAGTGTTTGAAAAGTCTCCGATTATGAGGTTTTTAGAAAATTGAGTAAGTAGCCTTTTTCAATAAAAAAAATTTTTTTTTTCTTTTTTTTTGGGTAGAATATCAAGAAAATTCAGTGACATGGCCATGTTTATTCAAACTCATTGAGCTATGGAGGTATTGGAAATCTCACGAATCATCTTCATTAGCTACAGCCAAAAATGGGATATATTTTACAACGATATGATGAAACTGATCATTTTTTTACTAAAATTTTGAAGTTTTACTGAAATTCAACTCCGTAATCGAGATAAAAAAGGATATGTTGAGCTTTTTGATAAATTTCAAACTTTTGAATCCATCCCATTTACAAAATACCTGTCATTAATATCTTTCATCTATAAATCACGAAAATTGGGCCACTCTTTTTTAACAAACGCTTGTCTTGTAATTAAAGCTCTCTCTTTTTACTACTTGATCTTATAGTACTGTACTTGTCGTTGCTCATGAAAAGGATTCACTCGTTGGTTTTGTTTTCTTTAACTCAAAATCAAGCAACCAACATGAATGATGATGCATGCCCTTGCGACTTCCCGTGTTGAGTTCACATTGCAAATAAGCCATGAAAAAAAACAGAGATCACCATTGATGAATTATCGATGTTCATTGCCTCAATAGCAAAATTTATCGATAGATTATCGCTAAATTGGCCAATTTTCAGCAATGAAACAGCAATAAAAAGCCTATCAAAGCGAGCAAAATTAGTAAAATACCGGGGTTCGATCCCGCAATAATTATGCTACTTCTGCGCCACGAGAACTTGGATTTACACTAGTTATAATTATTATTAACTCACGCTATCATTTGAACACTACCAGAATGAGTTCTAAAAAATTTCAAGTTTTGGAGCTGATTTTTGAAATAGCTCTGAAATATCGCTGCTTTAGCTATGCAGTAACTTCTGAATTTTACAAGAAACAGCCTTGGAAAAAAGCAATTACTGGGATAGTACAGAGATAGTAATAAGCAATTACTGGGATAGTAAAAATTAACGGTGGGACTTCAACCCGGGTTGTGATAATTAACAACTTCAAAAAAAAATGAAAATAATGAAAACTAAAAATAATGAAAAAACGTTTTTGCAAATTTTTGCACACTCTTTTTTAGAATAGTTTGCGCGTCAAATTACCACTTCCAAACTCAGAAGCTCTTTTTTACCACCTAATCACGAGCCCTAAAAGTTCAAATCATCACCTTATTTCAAAAGCTCGAAAAAACCAATTCTTTGATAAAAAAAGAAACTTCTTTAGCAAACTTTCTTTAGTAAAAAAAGCTACAAAACTTTAAATGAATATGCCATTTGGTATCGGTTGGTAACAATATCCAGAATAATTATCCCCTAACTCGATTCTGTGATTTTAAAATGACCTCCTTTAACAACTGAAGTTCATTATAGACTCAGTTCATTATTTTGATGAGTATATTGGCTAACTGCAAAATTTCATCAGACCTTCTTTGAGGTCTTTTTTTGAGATACGAGTACACAATAGCGGTACTCATTGGGGTCTTGTTTCGATATTTTGATAAGATTTAGTTGCAGGAACAGTTTTTACGTCCAATTGATTGCATATATGTATATATAGATATATGATGGGTATCATATATCTATATAGATATATGATGGGCATATATATAGATATATGATGGGCTTGGAATTACTGTTTATTGAGTTGATTTCAAAATGTAACAAAATATGATTTTTGTTTTACCGAATATCGTAAAAAAACGGATTATTTATGCTTGGGATGGTTTTTCTATCAGTCATATTTCTGCGATCGAAATATTAGTTTTCAATACTGTTTTTAGGTCTCATTGAAGATATCGACTCTCTGAAATCAAATTTAAAGAAAAATAATTTACTTCCGATCATTATTTACAAAATTATGGGAGTTTGAAAGTTGCTAATTTGGCCATTTTTTGGGCTAATTTCTGGGCGCTTTGAAGATTCTATTCATAATGCTGAAACTGTAACATGAATTTTTCTGCGTGGCGATTTACCCCGCACAACAAAATTGTTCCGAAATGAATTGAGGCCAGCTAAACGGTGTCTTATTTCGTACGACTACAACTTTCTCAATTAGTCTTTGACATTGTCCAAGATTTATAGTTTTTCAATAATATTTTTTCCATAAACCATTCGATATGGAGTGAGGAGCAGTTGGAACATTAAAGATATTGCCCAGTATACGAGCAGTCTTCTTTTTTTGAAAGAGCACAATTTTCTTTTCCATTCTATCTTTTTGTTCCAATTTTATCCCTAAGCTGAAATAGCAGGATAATCTATTAAAATAAAGCTTGACGCCAACTCACCAGCAGTTGAATTTACATTTACTAGTTTTTCATCTACTAGTTTTCATTCTCATTTTTCTCATCAATTTCCTTCAAAAATATATTCAATTCTCAGACTTGATCGTTTCCAAAAGGACCAAAATATAAGGCGACCGAGCACGGACTCAATTATTCGGCAAAAGCAATATGTCAATACGACACAATATTTTCTAGAATTTTTTTAAACAGATTCGCAGATTCGAGGGCTAAAAAATTGTGGTAAAGTATATTTATTACTAAACTTTGTTTTTTTTCTAGCACAGAATTAAAAAGGGCCCTTTATTCCCAGTAAGCGTCTTGTCCGGCGTAAATGGTAAAATTTTTGCAATCAGAATCTAAGAAAATTGATAATTGACTCTGGAAAATGTGTGGGAGAGATATGAAGAATATGAGGTTTTTGTACGACCGTGTCCCAGGTGCAAAATTCTTTAGAATACAAATAGTTTAGAGCTCAAGCAGAGCATAACTAAATTATTTTCTTTTTCTTGTTTTGCAATTAACTTTGCAAATTGTAGTCCTTCATAATCATTTTAATTGGATTCAAAATGGAATGAAACCAAATCAACTTGTTCAAAAAAGTGTATGATGTTACATTAATGTCTAGCAAATACTTTAAACTCGCTTTAATGGAACAGTCCTAGATTATGAAAACCCATCATTTTTAAAATTGGACCGAGTTATTATTTTCCCCCTGAAACAGTTTATGCGAGGATGTTAAGTTGTATCTAATTTGGAACTTCCAGCCAATCAGAGTCGAGTATTTTAAACGCAAACTTATATAAAGGAAAAACTAGCGTGTAAAATCACAATTTGATCCTAGTTTTTATTATGAAACCTCTCTTCCTGAAGAAAATTTTGCATTCTTCGGACGCCCTGATAAGTGCTCGAGAAAAGTAAATGAAAAAATATAAAAATGTTTGTTCTTGTAATCTTTTTTTTGGAGAATGAAGATCATAAAAATTGGCTGAGGGCAGGAAATTGTTGATCAGGCTTTTGATTCAATTTGCCGGTCAAACACTGATCTAAATATAATTTCGGGAAAAAATTAAAATTTTTATCTTAACAAAAAAGCTTAGAGCTGGACGCACAAATTTCTCCTAGGTTATTTGCTTTCTAATGTTAGGGACCAATCTATACATCTGTTAGAATTGGATAAATAGGGGAATAATGTAAGCAAGTTTTAAGTTGGAGATTTTAACCAATCAAAATCAAAAAAATACATCTCTACAGAATCTATGTAATTCTTTTATTGATAAAGGGAGAAATTGAATTTGATCTATTTGGAAAGAAGGTTGCAAAAATGACCAAATGTTTGCACTCGGTGCGTTTTTTTTTTCCAGCTCGATTCACAATTTTTAAATATTTTGTTTGAATGGAAAAGATATTATGATGTAATTAACTCGAATTTACGAACCGATCACATCTTTGGCTCATATTTACTAACCGCTCCGCTCTTGCATAGAGTTTTGGACAATTGAATGTTTCCAATTGGGCTACTTTGGAATAATTAACACGCATGCCTTCGAAGCTATTAATGAATACAATCCGACTCAAAAAATGTTTCATGAGGCAAGCTATTGGTCGTTTAGCACATGACGCAAAAAGCATTAGTTTCTACTTTACATATATTTTGAGCGCAAATCCCAAAATTAACATGAGAAAATCTCAAAAAAACTGTTTTCAGTAAATTTTTTTTTTCAATTTTCGGAGTCAACCAGATATGTTTTATAGACAGTGCAGGGCCGCCGAAACAGTTAGGGAGTTGCCCCGACACAAGAAATTTGGTTATTTATCATTATGGGTTTTTTCATAATGTTTGGCTGAACTTCCAGTTTAAATTTAGTCTTTTTGAAGTTTTCCATTCCTCAAACTCATTTGATGAGATGATATAAGTTTCCCAGCATTCAATTGCGAAAGCATTGAGATGGTGTCTGAAGATTAGAAAAAGAAAACTGAAAACAATTATTTTCTTGTTTGACCGAAAATTTCGAAAAAATTTTGATTCAAAGATACAACTAGAATAAGAAATTTAAAGGCAATCCTTTTTGAAAACGGAAAAACTCCAGAACGGTAAAATTTAACGCTAGTTTACTTTGTTTTAGGAACAGTAATTTTTCTAATAAGACTTTTTTGGATTTTTAATTTGGCCAACCCTTAATATATGTGGTTTTGTGTTTTTACTTTCTTCAAACATGATTCTGTTTTCTTCATCTGCTATCTTTGAGCTGAAA